ATAACTTGTAAAAAAAAGTGGGTAAAAATCCTTAGAAATTTTCTCTTATGCCTCTTATAAAAATCTCATGATTGAATGAAAATGTTAAGGTTATGGGGGCTTTGTAAAATTGGCTTTTAAAAAGTATGTGATGGGGGGTGGTTTCCCCCCCCAGAAAAGTCTTGGAAAGAACTTTCGATCTTCTCCGCCCTCCGGAGTCCCCCTTCCCCCCCCCCCCCCCGCCCCCACTAATGAGGTATCCCCATACCTTTAAGCGGATCCAATATGTGGATTTGTTACCACTTCGTGTTCTTAAAGGTCGTCCATTTTTTCGGTAGGGTGTCCTCTGTTTTTAATGAAACACGAACTTCACACAAAAAGAGCACAGAGGTTATGGATGTTTTTTTTTTTTCAGACTTGATTCTTGCAAGCTGGATCAGCAAAACCTCGTCACTTCCATTTCTGAATCACATGGATGCCAATGACTCTCAGTTTCGACTTGCTTTACTGTCAAATAATGGGAGCACTTCAGAGAGAGATAGTCGTGAAGAAGAGATTGAATCAGAAGCAACAGCTAATATAAAGAGAAGTCACAGTCTTACCTCAGCACAAAAGAGAGCTCTTATTATAAAGCGACTTATCCCTCTCGTAATATCTCTGATGATTTTAGGCGGCGCTGTAGCCGTACGGTTTCTAATTCCGTTGCCTTAATAGCACGAGACTTCTTCATTTGGAAATGATACACTTACTTCAAATACTACTTGTAGCAATTTAACCACTGTTATTAGTTAACATCCGCATATAATAACCTACGATTGCGTGATTCAGGCTGATCAATTTGTCAGCCTGAAATTTTCTTAAAATGTTATTAAAATTTGTTTGAGAAATACTATACATTATAAATTACGAGAAGGTTAATTAACATACAAAATTAATTAAAATAATTTTAAGAAATTATCAAGTACTATTAGTAATGTATAGTGTAAGTAAACATATGAGTTACTGTATTGATTTCTTATCCTAGCATCATTTTTTATCTTTTTACATGAGAACATTTTTTAATCATAAGGGTGAATAGGCCATTTGCATGATGACGTCATTGTACTACTATGACCAGAACGGCCTTTAGGCTTTCACTTTCTTTTGCAAATTAGAGCTTTTGTTATGTATTTTTTTTATAAGGGAAAATATAAGGGAAAAATAAAGCATATTTCGAAACTAATGGCCAGTTTTCTAATGTTTGTGAGAAAGAAAGAAGGTACAGGGAATTTACATTTTGGCATCACTGATTTTTTTATCTTTTTTACACACTGTAACGTTTGTTATATAACAACTTTCGAAAGTATTTAATTGATTTAATTCAGTATGAACGAAAAAAATTTCGTAATTAAGAAGCAACAACCAAACAAAGAAAGAAAGAAAAGATTGACTATTCACTCATCAAATTTAGTTTCAACTCACAAAATGATCGGCAATCATTACATATTTCCAAAGAAGAAATATGCTGGGAGAGATTTGAATTTTGTTAGAGTGGGCCGGAGATGTAAAGCAATCGTGGATTATTGTTGTTCTATGCCTCTGGGCGTAAGAAGAGTGAATAAAATGATTAAAGGCGTCTGAGTACTTACAATTCGGTAGATTCCGAGCCTTTTCCTGAAGTTTCATTTAACCTGATCCAGCCTGCAAATTCTACCCCGCTGTTCCACTGCTTTGTAGTGAACTGACTGTACCGATTCAGCGTGGCGTCTGGTAGCTTTCTTTATGCAAAATAATGATTCCTAATTCAAGGAAGAAAGCCTGAAAAGATTCGATTCACATTCAAACTATTATAACCTTAGCAATCGTTGGATGACTTCTTGTTTTGCTGCATAGTTGAACTGTTCCATGCCTGTTCTGACCAAATGGAGTTATTTCCTGCCGCATCTCGATTTCTTGTTTTGCTGCAGTTGGACGGTTTGTATCAACCATGTCCATTTTTTTTGAAGAAATGGACATTGTTGATACAAACCGTCCTTTCTCCATCGCCGTCTGAAGCAAAGAGACAAACCATCGACTTATCAGCACGAGAAAGCAGCCCAAATTTTGCGTTCCCCGCGAAATATGATGTCTGAATCTCAAGGAGCGCTAATATTCTATCCATAAGCAAGGACGCTTGCAACTTCTCAGCCGTCGTTTAATATTTGAAAAACCCCGAAGGGTACTCCACAAAATGTTATACGGAGAGGCTCCGCCCAGAGTTCCACACACTTACCATCTGATACACTAGACAGAAAAGGTAACTCTTTGGTATATCTTCTATTGACAAATGATGTCCCTGTCACATACCAAATCTAGACCCCTTATCCCTTTTAACTGCTGTAAATGCACCATTTTTTAATATGAAAAAATCACTAAACTAGAAAGTTATCTTGTCTCTTTCACATCCATAAAATGCGTCGGTTAGCCCTTTTCGGTCCTTTTAAAGACCTTAACGACAGATTAATATTTGTCTACCTGCCTTTCTTAAACTTCAACTAATGAAATCCCTACCCTTTAATATACCTGAGGGTTCCCCTTTCGGGCGGAGCCTTCCTCTATAGGCCATTACGGGGTACTGCCGGGTGAAAAAAAAAAAAACCTTAACCCTTTGCCTCCATTTTTATATTGCACTTCTTTACTTTTTTATATACTTACTTCATTTGTAAAAGGTTTTCCAGGCTACTAAGCTATTGTGATAGTGCTGATTAACCGTCACGGAGACAAGCATATCAATCGACGTCAGGTAGATTTCGATTACAGCGCTCTTGCTTCCAAAGTCTTCAACAACAATAAAGCATCGATTAATTTAAACTTGGAATAACAAATAACTTTTTTAGTGGCACCTTTAACGGTACGCTTGACAGCTTCACAGCGATCTGGAGTGGATTTTAGCAGATTTGCTGTTCACTTGTGTGTAACTCTAATAACCGTCAGTGTGTGTGTCTGCGTATTGGGCAAGCAACTGTTATACTGAGTCGGTTGCTGACACCACAGGTAGCCCAAGCGTAATATGAGAGTTTGTATGGGAAAAATAGAGTTTAAAACTTGTCTTTGCTTGTACGAAGTTTCATCTGACCTGACAGTGTAATAACTATTACACTGTCAGGTCAGATGAGGTAAAAGTACTCAAATCGCGCTGAAAATTCGTAAAAGCAAAGACAACGACTCCAGGTAACAATATTTACACTTTATTGATAACTTTCATCGCTTTTACTTCATTCATTTCATCTAAGTTTCAAAATCTGTTTTTCCCATACAGACTGTCATATTACGCTTGGGCCACCTGTGCTGACACTGCCATCAGGATGTGCTCTGTCTTTGTTTGATGCCGAGTGAGAAATTGTATGGATTACAGCGAATTTGATTTAAAGCTCAAACCAGACTATCAGCTGGATTTTCTTTCGCTGTGTACGCTATCTAACCGCTACACTTAAAGCAAATGGCCGTCGTCGCGCGTGCTGGATTAACGAGCTAACTTTGCGCTCGCAGCGGGGATTAACGACCTCTGTGCGTGCGAGCATGGATAATAGTCTTTCTATTATCCATGGTGCGAGTTAACATATTCTGCGCGTGCTCACTTAATTAACAATTAATGAATGAGGCTGAGTATCTTATGAAGAATTATGGAGATCGAGGAGGGTGTTATCCGTCGAGGCCGTAGGCCGAGGCGGATAACACCCTACGAGATCTCCATAATTCTTCATATGAAACGAAAGCCGTATTCAATAATTGTTTTATTATTCATTGAAAAAAATTCCTAGTTTAAAAATATAGCTAACACAAGCTTACCTGCATCGATGTTAAGTTTATCTTCGATAGTTTACGTTTAGGTTTGTCCAGCTCCGCAAATATTCTCCAAATAGCAGATGTCGCCCTCCGAGTTGTCTTCTAACTGTTTTTGCTATGTTTTTAGCCATTATTTCGCCTAGTTCCAGCTGTAGTTGTTACTCTTGAAACGAGTGAAGTGTCCGCCATTTTAGTTTTTACAACGAAAACAACTCAATCTCGTCCCTACGTCTTCTCGGTTAACGGTGCATTAACCTTTAGAAGGCTGCATTTTTGACGTCATTTTCTCGTTAAATACAAAATTCTTCCAAATTCGGCCATCATTAATTGGTTATGGTGAATTATGCGTGTGCTTTTAACCAATCAGAATTAGGGAAATATTTTGAATGAATAATAATTGGACTTAACTGGCTGTAGTCATGAAGGATCGAGGTGGTACGATATCGCCTGCAGTCTTACTACGTTTCCTGCGTCTATTGATGTGCTCCGTGGATATACATGAACACCCCTCCAAGCTGTTTGTGAAAAGTATGCCACGAGAACCATTTCATCCAGTTTCTTGATATCCAACTGGAAGAATGAAAATTAAGTCCGCTGCATGGTGGCGGGTGCAAGCAATCGGTTTGGTGCTTGGCCTCGTAGAAATTCTTGAAGTCAAGAGTACCATATTCTGCGAATCGCACGGTCATCTTCAACCTAGCAGATGTTGCTCGCGTCCGAAACGAAGATGTAGGATATACCGTAAGAACTATGTAAGTTTTTTTTTTATTATTATTAATTTTTTGTCTTTTTTTTACTAGTGAATTAATTGTTTCACAGAGTGCCCACTTTGATAGCAGTTATATAACTGAAGTGGTTACCCTGTAAACATCCTAATTCCATGATGTTTTTTTGAAAAATATTTCGATTCTGTGTGCAAAACAAAAGACGGAATTAGGGTCATAAAATAAGTTCTCTTTTGTTAAACAGGGTTGCAAAAAATGAACTTTTTTTGTCTTAAACGGGGTCGAGGTTTGAAGGTGCGTCTCTGCGGCCGGCACCTCGATCCACCAAAACGTCCCTTGAGTAGCCTGCGTACCCTTTCGCGCTTTAATTTTCCCCCTCCCCCACTTCTCCTCCCCACTTTTTGAGCCTGCCTCCCAGGCTATCCCTTGAGTGCCTCCCGGAACAGAGGGTCACAATGGGGTGATAGCTTTGATGGTTAATTTTTACCAATTTTGACAGGTAACCTGTAAAAATTAACCATCAAAGCTATCACCCCATTGTGACCCTCTGATCCCCTTTATAGATTTTGAAAAGGCGTTTAAACGGAGGCCGCTTCGAAGTGCATTTATCACATCTCTTTTTTTTTCAGGTTAAATGTTTTCTGATTTGATCTATCAAAGACTGTTGCAAGCTCTCCCTTTCTTTTCCGCCCCTCTCGCTCTCCCGTTTCCTTCCGCGTGTGTCGCTCGCGCTTCAGCGACTTCTCACGATTAGCCTGTTCCAGGTGTTCGGAAAGTAGAGTGCGACGCGAAGTAAGATCTCGAAATTTCAAAATACAGGGCACGCCCCGAGACTAACCTATTTGTACCTTTCCACAAAATCGGTTCTTAAATTAAAATATCCAGGTAAATGTTTTGACAGCCAGCTTCAGGGCGAAAGCAACTGCGTTTACTTTCTGAATTCATAGCAGATTGGTCCACGCTTTTCCTACTCAGTGTAGTAGCGACTCCTGAAGAGAAGTGAAAGAAACAAGCTCGTTAAAAGTCAATAAATGGTGAACTTTCAACGCCCTACTTTCCAGTAACGGAATCCTGCCTCAAAACGTTTTTTCCTGTTTTCCAGGATGATATTCCACATTAACTTTGTTTATTTTGAATCACTTCACCACGCATCATGCAAGATGAACTGATGTGAAATCGCATTGCTAGCGAATCACATTTCCAATCAACGTAAGGAACCTCCGAGTGTTGACAAGAGCTGTCAAAATCGACCAATGATAGGATATACCAGAATCGCGTATATTCTGGTGTACCGGAACAAGCTCTTCTTTAAAAAAAGGTACTGCAGGCTTTCCCTCGCTTTCACCCCTACCCTACCCCCTCACTGTTTTTTTTTTTCTGCTTTCATCTCTTCGCACCGTCCTCCCCCACGATTTGAACGCCTGGCATAGGCGGACGGGCAATTTTTTGCCAGGGGGGGCGGGAAACCATTTGCCCCAAAAAATTCTGCAAGTTGCCCCACTTTTTTCGAAACAGGACACAAGACACGAGGGCC